GAAAAGGTGGCGGAACTCAAACCTGGCCACGCCCTCATCAAACCCTAGGACCGCCCCTTTAGAGAACAGGAATGCAAGTAAAATTTGGGAGGGGCTATTTCCGGTGTGGGAGGGGCTATTTCCGGTGCGGCCGGCCCGGAAAAAGGTGCCGGAACGCGGTTCCGCCGCGTTCCGGCTGAAAAAAAGCCCTGGTAATAATGCTTGCATGTATCATTCATAGATAGCCTGAGCAGGGGATGTATATAGGGTAGTTTCCTTACTGTGCAATTATTTATTTCCTATATCTTTATTCATCTAATATTGCAAATTATATAAGAAAAGTTCCCAAGTACCATGGTATTATTAGTATATTAATAAAAAAACAGATGTATGCCCACAGAAAAGGGATATATAATAATTATTTCACATAGGGGTTTTTCTATAGGTAGACAAGTTGAAGTTATCATTGCACATCCTAATGAGCTTCTATTTAATCACTAGAATATTTTCCTAGATGCATAACTGTAAATTGCAGGTCTATATATTACACTTGCATAATTTTTAATCTGATGTCAAGTGTATGTTATCACAAAAGTCTTTATCTTCACTAGAATGTATAACTCATTTCAACATATAATATTATCCAGGTATGAATGCATACAATAAATTATGGTCTTTTAACCAGTTTTACTTGAGTTGTTTATATAACTTGAAACACAGGATCAGTTTTATTTTTGCTTCTTCTCCCCATGACAACTATTGTCAATATTAGTATTATCTAGTTCTGCCAGTCAGCTACATATATATTTATTTCTCTGCAGGACTACAAGTGTTAGTCATATAATTTTAAATCAATTTCCTCTAAATATGGAGCTATTCTAATAATTTTTGGAAGAAAAGCATGAGCTTTTTACTGTTTTAATAGATGAATAGCAGCACAAACGCATATGAATTCTGATGTCCTAAACTGTAACATCTAAATCTAGCCTTAAAATCAGCTTGAAATCAAAACTAGGTCCACTGAATTCTTCCAATAATTAATACAATACTCCTATCATGCTGTTAAAACTTTTTGGGGTAATTTCTTTTGAATAATGAAGTTTTAGTTAACTGGAAACCATTAATTTAGAACTTGGAAAGCTCATATTTACCGTATTTATCGGTGTATAACACGCACAGGCGTATAACACGCACCTTCATTTTAAGAGGGAAATTTCAGGAAAAAAACTTAAATTTCAAATAAAGAACTTTGAAGCAAAATAAGGGTAGCTCAGAACTTTTTTTTATTAATATTATTACCACTTCTTAACATTATATCGGCGTATAACACGCACACATCATTTGCCCATTTTCAGGGGGGAAAAGTGCGTGTTATACGCCGATAAATACGGTAATTTTCAAGTTAAATCATGTGTAACATGCACAATCGTGTTCACATCACTCCAACTGTATGACTTCTTTTCAGCACTGTAATATATGTGGACAATTCTCCTAGTTTCAACAGTTAACAAGATAAATTGTATCATGTGAAATTTATTTCCCTATTGTCAAGTATTTCATCTAGAATAAGCCTTGAGCTCAGGACAGGATGTGCACTTTTGACTCCCATTACTATAAAAATCAAACAAATGCAAGGATCTATTGAGCAGGGAAATTCCAATACATGCTATTCTTCCATACATATTTACCCTCAAGAATTATGAGATTAAAAACTGGCTAATCAGACTATGCACTGAGAGTTTGGGGGTACTCAAAAATAACATGCAGGCAACTGAATAATCTCAGCATTAATATAAATCTATTTTAATTGTGAGCTTCCTCTTAGGAAACATTTACTTATTGACATGTTAGTCTTTTGAGACTTGGATCTACTGTATTCCTCTGAATAGGAAAGGCAATTTTTATACAGTTAATGACTAACCGTCCCCTCCAAAGGAATTCCTGACTTAATATTAATTTGCATGCTCTAATGGGAAATAGATCTTATCTGTTTAACAACTAACTTGCCTAGACAGCACATGACAGTGTAAAACAGAACTGTTAAAAAAAAGGTCACTCTGCTATCTATTCTGGAATATCTAATCTCTTGTAACTTTACTCACCGTCTGGTGACTTCTGTCACAGTACCGCAGTCCAAAATAATCTATCTCAATGAGGTTTAAATGCCGAAATACGTAGCCCAGGACAACCGACCCTTTCGTTGATTTCTGTGGGAAAGAATGTGCAGAGACTTTTCATACAAATGTTCATTCTTTTGTTGGCTACACAGTGGCATTCATGCATTCAGCTAGATAAGTCTACCAGAGGAGACTGTATTATTAGAACTGGTCTTTAACAAAAATTGCAATGACAAGAAAGTTTTCTGTCTTATTCGCCAGTCATTTTATAGAAAAGATTGAGCAATTATATTGACAAGTTTTTTAATCTCTAATATCATGAGGTCACATAATTATGTACTCAAACTGTGATCTGCAGTAATTCTGCATTATTCATTCTTGCCTGTATTCACACATCCTCAACACTTTGTGATTTCAGATTCCCTAAGGGAAGAGGGAAAACATCAGGCAAATCCATTGACAGAGTGATTTAATGAATTCAACTTTGGCATATTTATGCATGCATTGCTAGTTGATACTAGTAACACTGGTTTATTGTAAGGGCATTAGTATATAGTGGTAACAGCTGCTAAACAACTCAGGCAATGAGAGCTATGACTACCTGTAAGAAAAAACTAATTTATTTTACTTTACTAGTAGTACTGTGTAAGTACATATTGTTAGCTAATTTCCTTGACAGTGAAGAAGAAAGTTGTATGATACTCTATAATTAAAATATCAGTATAATACCACCTATGTTTCTCTTTATCATATAATCATAAACAAGTTTTTTAAAAAGGCTAAACACAGAATTAAATATGAAGAAATGAGAGATATCATGCATTTAGTACTTAATGTGCCAACAACATGAAAAGAGAGGATATAGGCTTTAAATAAACAATCAAGCACACCCATACAGTTTAGATGTAAAAAAAGAATCAGAGAAAAATCTCATCTGAAACAACATAAAATAACCAGAGAAAAAAAAAGAATCCCAAAGTCATTTTAACTTAATGTTCAAATGTACATATTGTTCATAAAGTAACACCTGTCTTTAATTACTTTAAGACAAAATTAAAACACATTATTCAGAAAACTAGCATAAAACAAAGACTTAAAAGCATGAGTATAAGATCAGTTTCAATCTATATTGAACATTAATATTTTGAAGAAAAAATATAACTTTGTACAGCCTTCTACTTACAAACAGGTTACGTTCCAAGAAGCTGTTTGTAAGTCCATTTTGTTCATAAGTCCAACCAAGTGTGAAAAGAATATATACAGTGCAATTCTTACTTTACATAAATTAAGTTACATTTCTCCGCCCATTCAATCAAGGACTAACCCTAACCCTAATACCCTCTGAGCAGCAGCAAGCACATCAATTTCCTCTTGCCCCTCCTTTGGGGTGGGGCAGCTGAGCAGGCATCCTCCTAGAGCAGTGGTGGCGAACCTATGGCATGGGTGCCAGAGGCGGCACTCAGAGCCCTCTCTGTGGGCACGCATGCCGTCGCCCCAGTCCTAGGTCTTCAGCTGGGTTTTATAAAACCTTTTCGTTTTAGGCCTCCGCCACCGTGTGCAAAAAAAAAAAAGGTTCAATTTCAACTTCTCGCGGGGAAAAAAAAGATCTTGCAAAGTTGGAATTGATTGATTGAACTTTTTAGTCCCACCCAGTCTCCGTTACCACAGCAGCCATGCCCACCCAATGGGCCACGCCCACCCAATGGGCCACATCCACCCAGCACTCGACGATGCAGTTTGGGCACTCAGTCTCTAAAAGGTTCGCCAACACTGTCCTAGAGGAAGGAGGAACCTGATTCTGGGTACTGAGGACCTCTCCCACATTGATCCATTGCGGCTTTGGCTTTTGGCGTGGCCAATCTTCCCATGGGCTAGTGAGATTCTTTTTAGGGAAGGGCTGCCAGCAAAACAACCAGGAGCTGTCACCACGCACAACCTGAGGGAGGAGTGAAGTGCACTAGAATAGAATAGAGCTGGAAGGGACCTTGGTGGTCTTCTAGTCCAGCTCTGCTCAAGCAGGAGGATCTATACCATCTCAGACAGGTCATTGTCCAGTCTCTTTTTAAAAACTTCCACTGATGGAGCGCCCACGATTTCTGGGGGCAAGCTGTTGCACTGGTTGATTGTCCTCACTGTCAGGAAGTTTCTCCTTAGTTCCAAGTTGCTTCTCTCTCTTTTTTTTTTTATTAAAAGTTTTATAAAAAATTACAATATAAACCCCCATACCCCCCCAAGCCCCCCTCCCCCTCCCCCACTTCCCAAAGCTGAACACAGGGTTACAAATATAATAATCATAATCTAACTAACATTAACCAACTATTTAAGTAACCAAGTCCATAACGCACTTTAACTCCCCTTTAACATACATTTAAACAAATTAAAATTAAAAATAATAATAAACAAATTAACAACCTAATTGTTAAACAATACAATCAAGTTGCTTCTCTCTTTGATCAGCTTCCAACCATTGTTTCTCGTCCTTCCCTCTGGTGCTCTGGTGAACAACCTGACCCCCTCTTCTTTGTGGCAGTCCCTCAGATACTGGAATACTGCTATCATGTCTCCTCTATTTCTTCTTTTCTTTAGACTAGCCAATCCCAAGTCCTGCAGCCGTTCTTCGTACATTTTGGTCTCCAGGCCTTTGATCATCTTAGTTGCTCTTCTCTGAATTTTTTCCAGACTCTCAACATCTTTTTTGTGATATGGTGACCAAAATTGGCTGCAGTATTCGAGGTGTGGTCTTACTAGGGCTTTATAAAGTGGTACTAGTACTTAGTGTGATCTTGATTCTATGCCTCTGTTTATACAACTTAGGATTGTATTAGCTTTTTTGGTTGCTGCTGCAAATATAATAACTGCTACAGATACTTTTCATATACAATCCACATTAGTATCCTATACTTTCAATGTTTCTGTTGGTATTCAGAACCTCTCACTTGATCTGCATCTTACAGAAATCAGTGAAATTCTTACATGAAATTAAGCTACTCCAGAAATGAGTCGTGATGACTATCATGTCGACATTGTAATGCAAAGCATATTCAACCAGTATCAGAGCTTTTTCCACCCAGGGTTAAGACTGTTATAATTTGCATTACTCATAAAAGAGTAGGGCACATGTTTGAACATATAAGGTAGAGCACTCTGATGGCTATAACTTCTTAGAATCCCCAGCAAGCATAGAAAGTGGATAGCAAGAACCATATAATGATGTAATTAGCATGTTTGTGCATTTGCGTAGGTGTGTTCTTTTCCTTCTGCAAAAGTCCTATCAAGACTGGTTGAACAACACTACTGACTCAGTCATCCATTTCTCCAAGTAACAGACTGAACACTGCTCTACCAGCATGATCAGGAATGATGGACTCAAGCAGACAGTACTTGCTTTAGGTATCTTCCCAGTCCCTACAAAAGGATGGGGAACTGCCATTTCCTCTAATTATTTTTAGAATCAGAGAAAAAATATATGCAAATCACTAGTGGCCCAATGGGATTCAACAGTATACCTATCCCCAACATTTTCTGCTCCTGCTCCACTTTCTTTGGCTGTGTGTGATGGGTACAGAATAGAGCTATTGTGTCTAGAGAAACCCTAATTTTGTGGCACTATCCACTTATCTTTGAGCAGTAGGAAGAGAAAAGCCTCAAGCGCCACTAACTTTGTCTGAACATGATTGACCAATGAAATCTCTACTAATCTTTGCACTCTATCACTGCAGTCAAGTGTTCACATGACACATTAATGCCCCCCCCCCTTTGACTGAGTTAAACAAATTATATAAACAAGGTCATTGACTGCATAACACGGCTGTATAGATTTTTGAGAGTGCCCTGCTTTGTTGAAAGCTGAACCAGAAGCAAAACTGAGGAACAATGTGGCATCCTGCTTCTAAACAGAGTGCAATCCTGATCATTACACACAATTTGGGTAGAAAACTCCATCAGAGGGAGAGGGTAAAAACAGCGAATAACCAATCTGGACTAGGAATATTTCTAAAATTTAAAGAGTTGACTTTATACTTAAATCTGGTAGAGGCTTACATTCTGATTAGGAAAGATTTGAAAAATCAGCAACAGCAAAAAAAAGAATTGTTCAAAATGAGTCATAAATTTGTGCTTTATAATGCAGCAGCAGTCAAAACCAGAAAGGCAGGTTTCTACCAGCTTCATAAAATAACAGCTAGAACCTTCAGAAAAGAGACTTATTTTTCGTTTGACAGGAGTAAAATGGTTCATTAAAATATGGCAAAATACTTAAAATATTTTGAAAAGAAAATGGAAAAAAATCTGTAAAACAAGCTTGCTAGGGTAAGTATTTGAATATTTAGAAAATATGGCAATCTCTAAAATATTAAAGCAACCAAATGTGTTTCCTGACAGCACTTTTACATTTTTAACCGGCTGATACTAGGCAATTATAAAGTCAGTGTGAAACTTTTGTGGCACGTATATACTGAGTGGAAAGGAAAATTCTATTGCTGAATTTCTGATGTCAGAAACAGAAATATTTACCCAAGAAAAAAAATTAAAAGACCACCTGATATTCTAATTTCAACTGCTTTTGCAAATTATAATTCCTCAGTGATTTATCTTCTAAACTGAGTCACTAATTAAAATACTTGAGTAGAATTTACAAATCATTCACCAGTGATGTGATCATACTCTTCTTTCCCTGTGCCAACGGCAGAGTATCACTAAATCCTCCAAACATTCAAAAGCCAATTATTCCAAAAGTTATCTGTCATCCAATTACTAGGAAAGCTGCCCACTCCAAGTCAATTTAAGCCAGCATCATCACCAATTGTATAGTAAGTGCAACCTCCCTTTGAAAGTATAATGTGGGATTATAGCAGGTGATTCTGTCAATGCAATAGTAATTCCTTCAGTGCCTTTTTTGTAAAAAAAAAAAAAAAGGTGCCAGAACTCACACATGTCATACAACCCGCCTTGCCTACCCTACAAGGTTTCATCCAAAAAAGGTGCCGGAACTCCGTTCTGGGCGTTCTATGACAAAAAAAAAGCCCTGAATTCCTTTTTAGTGTTTTAAAGACTCATTCATTCTCTTAATCGGAATTAAGAATGCATACATT